GGGTGTGTCCCCAGCCCAGGATTTCCCCACCTCAAGATGTCCCCAGTTCAGAGTGTCCCCAATCGGGGGTGTCCCCAGCTCAGGGTGTCCCCAACTCGGTGTGTCCCCAGCTCAGTGTGTCCCCAGTTTGGGACTATGTCACAATCTCGGGGGGTCCCCAACCGGGGGTGTCCCCAGCTCAGGGTGTCCCCAGCTCGGGCCCGTGGCTATCCCATCACATCCACTCCTGGACAGACCCACCCCAGGAATTGCTCAGGAATCGCTCGGGAATTGCTCAGGCATTGCTCAGGAATTACTCAGAAATTGCTCAGGAATTGCACAATTATCGCAAAGTTGGGAYCAGCCCTGCCCTGTTCCGTGCCCCACAGTGCCGGGGACGCGCAGCCGAGGAGCCACCGCTGCACCCACCCCGAGAGAGGGCCTTCCCTGCAAAATGTCCCCGTGATTCCTGCCTGGAATCCACCACGAAGGACCACGAGCACCTTCCAGCACGGCAAAAACAAAAACAAGAACAAATCCAAATCCCCCCGAGCTGCCGAGGGACGCCAAATCCAGGGCAGAGCCGGGGAGCTGCTGCCTGACCCGTCAGCTCCGGTGTCACCGTGCCCGGGGCACTGAGTGGCCCTGCAAAGCCACCAGGGATGGGCGATGCCCAGCGGGGAAATGCAGGTGTGGGGTGCACGTGGGGACGGCGATTTTGGAGCTGTTTTTTAATGTGGTCCCCGTTCCTCAGGGCATCCTCGGAGCCGGTGACTGCCCGGTGTCACCGGGGACGCCCCCAGTGCCCTGTCCCCGTCCCCACACSRGCTCCCAGCGYGGTGCCGAGCCGAGCYGAGCTGTTATTCCCACCAGACCCAGCCCAGGTGTCGAGAACAGCAGCAGCACAGCCCTGCCTCACCCTTCCCACCCTCCTGCCCAGCCCGCGGCGGTGCCCAGGGCCGGCGGTGCCAGGGGCTGGTGACACCATGTCCCCCTCCGTGTCACCCTCGGTGCCACCCACCCCTGGATGGGCACAAGGGGCTGGCAGCAGCTCCCTCCGCTCCTTCACCAGCCTGACAATAATTTTCCTTACATAACGAGGGGATTAACGTTCGCCTTCCAGCTGCTTCCCACCCGGCACGGACGGCGCTGGGGGGTTCCACTCCCCACTTCCATTCCCYGAGGAACCGAGATACCAAACCCCCCCGTGGATCTCTCCACCCGTCCCCACCCTCCCCATCATCTTACCCGAACCCCAAAATCTGCCGGGACCTACCTCCATGGCGGGCARGGCCGGGGTGCCCCGGGGCTACTTGGCGTGGGCTGCCCGGCCGTGTCCCCGCCGTGTCCCCGCGCCYGCCAGCGGCGCCCGGGCTGCCATGGCACGATTCCCGGCCGGGAAAAGCGGCAGCGAAGTTTTGGGGGAGCAGCAGGGAGGAAAGAGGAGGAGAAGCTTCTTGTGGACCCCGTCAAGGCTGGCCCCGCGTCCCCGGAATGCTCCCGGCGCGTTCCCGGCGCGATCCCGGCGCGCAGGGACGGAGGCGCTGGCTCCGGCGGGATTGCCGACTCAGGAAATCTGCCCGAGCTGTTTACAGCTCCCGGCGAGCGCAGCTCTCAGGGCTGTAACGCAAAACCCCCCTCCGTCCCCGTGCCGGGATATTCGCCCGCCTCCAGCCCCATCCGCTGCCCGCGCCCTGACGCAGGAGGTCGGCACGGGCTGCTGTCATCTGCTGTGTCACAGAGCAGGGCACAAGAGCCGGGAAAGACGGGGGGAGGCRTCCAGAAGGGAAAATCACGGGTGGAAAACAGCCCGGAAAAAAAAAAAACAACCCGCCACCGTGCAAAGAGCTGGGCAGCCTGAAAGGGTTAAAACCCGCGAATGGGCTGCTTGTGGCAGCACCGGGAGGGGGCTGGGASCCAGAGCTGGATCTGTCCCTGTCACCCCGTCAGAGTGGGAAGGGAAAGGCTGCGYTGACCCCATTCTGCCACGGGGGAACACGCGCGGCACAGAGAGCACGCCCAGCTGCTGACCGGGCGGGGACAGCCACGGCAATCCCGGGGACAGACGGACAGAYGGACACAGAGCRGGGATGGCCCCGAGCGGACCGACAGGGACCGCAGCTCGAGTGTTCGCCTCAGCCCGGAGCTGCACGGAGCGATTCGGGGAAGCACAATGGAAACCCCAAACGCGGCTCCCCGCAGCTCTCTCCTTTAGTTTCTCCTCAGAAAGCAGCAGCAGCAGCTCGGGCAGAATTTGCAGGCACCGAGGAAGGGCCGGAGCGATGAGCTGACCGTGACCCAGATCCATGGATAATGGAAAAGCCCAGCCCYGGGCTATCCCCGTACCCAGCCTGGCCCAGCCCCGCTCAGGGCGCTGCCCGTCGCCGCCCGGGCTATTCCCGTGCCCATCCCCGCTCAGCCCTGCACTCTGGAGAGCTCTGGCATGGAACTGGAGCCCCCCCAGCAATGCCAGACCCTCCCCGGGCAGCAGCGGTGCCCAGCGTGCCCTCCCCGCAGGATGAGAGAAGGCAGAGCTGGAGCAGCTTCTCCAGGCCCAACCCACCACGTGAACCCCAAATCCTCGTCCCCTTCCAGCTCCGACCCCGTCCGCCCCCGCAGGAACGGGGTAGAGCTGATTCCCGGTGAATTCACCCCAAAACCCGGCCGTGCCTACCCTGCGGTGCTCAGCCGTGCCGGGACAGGGTGGGGATGGGGCAGAGGCTCCTCCCGGTGCCGCACGGAGCCGGGGGGTGACGGTGACACCGCCGAGATGCCACCGGGTGACACCGCCGAGCTGCCACCGGGACCGGGGCCAGCCCCACCCGGGGCTCCTCGCCCCCTCCCGGGCAGGGGAGCGCTGCTCCCGGTGCATCCCTCAGATCCCGGAGCAGGATTTCAGCAGCCTGGCTGAGCCCTGGGCTGCGGACGCCTCTGCCATGACACGGGGCAGATGACCAAGGCCGGTCAGCCCGGGTATCTCCCATGGCATCACTTCTCCTTTCAGCAGAGGTCACTTCCCATCGCCCTCAGCAGGGCAGGGACAGCCCCAGCTGCTGCAGGAAGAACCCTTCCTACTTCCCATTTCCCTTTTTGGGGTGCTGCGGCCATCCCCGAAGCTCAGCTGCTGCTCCCCACGGTGGTTTTTGGGGTTTGGGATGGGGTTTGCCCATCCTGGGAAGGACTGCAGCGTGCCCCACACCCCCTGGCAGCTCAGGGCACCCCACAAACCCCTCCTGCCCCGTTCCTGGCCTTGGGGAARGAGGGAGGAGCAGGAATTTCCCAGGGGAGGCTGATGGAGCGAGGAGCTGATAACGGCCGAGCTGATAACGGGCCGGGATGTGCCGTGCCTGTCCACACCACGCAGAACCCGGTGGTTGTTCCTAATTCCACCCCACATCCTCGAGCTGGGGACTGGTGCAGGTCACAGCAAGGGACAGCTCTGCGGGGACAATTCAGTGACCACCGCTCGTGGGTGAAGCCGTTCAGGGCCCCCTGCACATGCTTGAAGAGTATTTGGAAAAATTCCCGATTGTTGTCGGAAGGAGTAACCCCGGGAGCTCCAGTGCCCGCTGGGTGAGACGGCACTAAACCCTCGCAGCGATTTAGCAGGAGGTTCAGCACCTCCAGCAGGGTGTTTGTGCAGCCACGGGGGATTTTTGGGGAAGGATTTGAGGGGGAAGTGGGGAGAGGCCGAGCCGCAGCCACAGAGAGGTGAGAAGTCACCAACAGGACCCTCAGGAGCCAAATCCCGCTCCCAACCCCCAGCAGCAGGGACAGCCCGGAGGGATCACAGCACAAACCCTGCGCCCCAAACCTGCCCCAYACCCTGGGCAGCCGCCCCCAAATCCCCCGGGCTGGCGGCGCTGCCTGCCGGGAGCGGGAGCTGCTGGTGGGCTGCCATCAGCAGCCATATGTCACCGAGGGCTGAGGAACACGACGTTTTCTCCGCTGAGGGGTGAATCAGACCCCGAGTCTGATATTCTGAATTAATGAAGCAGCAATCTCGGGCGCCTTTGTCTTCCCAGCTATTATCCGGAGCCAGCGCCATCCCGACGCGAGTGCCAGCGCGTTCCCAGCTCCAGYTCCTTCCCTGCCACGCGTGGGGAGCTGGAGGCGGCAGGTGGGAGCTCACCTGGGCTCTCACTCCTCCAATTTCCCCTGAAATACCTGCTGTTTGTGGGGTCTGAGGTGTCAAAGGGATGTGCCAGGGGCTGGGGGCTGCAGGGAGGTGTCAAAGGGATGTGCCAGGGGCTGGGGGCTGCAGGGAGGGCACCTCTGAAAATCCCTTCTGCCCATTTTGCCTCCTTCCCTGGGATCTGAGCAGGAGAACTTGCCGGGAGTTTGGGTGGGAAGGGAGGAAAATCCTCCCGAGGGGATGCAGGAGATTCCACCAAACTCAGGAATCCCATCTGGGGAAACTGAGGCAGCCAGAAAGAGAAAACTCCCGCCTGGGAAACTCCTGCCCGGGTCAGGTGTGGGGCCAATCCACACAAAGTCCCTGTCCCAGTTCAGGTAACCGGAGCTGCGGGAGGCAGAAACCACATCCTCCCCCTGGAACCGAGGGCGGCCGGACGCCAGGAGGGCTGGAGGGAGCCGGGGCCGAGCTGGCCATGCCCCAGGCGGGACCAGGGGCCTGGGCAGGGGACACAAACGCGTCCTGATGTCCCCGAGCTGCTGCAGGGAANGCCTCCTTCCCTGGGATCTGAGCAGGAGAACTTGCCGGGAGTTTGGGTGGGAAGGGAGGAAAATCCTCCCGAGGGGATGCAGGAGATTCCACCAAACTCAGGAATCCCATCTGGGGAAACTGAGGCAGCCAGAAAGAGAAAACTCCCGCCTGGGAAACTCCTGCCCGGGTCAGGTGTGGGGCCAATCCACACAAAGTCCCTGTCCCAGTTCAGGTAACCGGAGCTGCGGGAGGCAGAAACCACATCCTCCCCCTGGAACCGAGGGCGGCCGGACGCCAGGAGGGCTGGAGGGAGCCGGGGCCGAGCTGGCCATGCCCCAGGCGGGACCAGGGGCCTGGGCAGGGGACACAAACGCGTCCTGATGTCCCCGAGCTGCTGCAGGGAAAGCTGAGCCGCCACCCGGCTACCCCAAACCCCTCTGTGGCCACCTCGGGATGGGCACTCCCGGCCACCCCAAACCCCTCCGTGGCCACCCCGGGACGGGCGCTCGCAAACTCCGGGTTTCTCCCTGCTCCCTCTAATCCGTCTGGCCCTGATTTAGCCGCTGACCCGGGGGGAATCTAAATTTAGCGGGATGAATCCTRAGGGCTGGTGCCCTTCAGGCAGCATAGCGGCGAGGCTGGGGCTGCAGGGACAGGTCCCCCTKCACGGCAGAGCCCCGGGGACACYGGGGACACTGTCCCGGAGGGCTGGGGCAGGGACAGGGGCACCGAGAGAGGAGAATGGAGCAGGGGAACGGCGCTCTCGGGTTACGATCCCATAAAAACCAGCGGCTCGCGGTTCAGGGATGCGGCAGGAAGCTCCCCCGGTGCCCCCCGGTGCCTCAGAGGAGAAGCATCTGCTCAAGGGAGGGGCACGGAGGGGGAGGGCAGGGCCAGCGGGGGCAGCTGGCGCTGTCACTTGCCCAGGGACAACGAGGGCAGCGCGGGCTCCGGCGGGGGAGGGGACACTCGGCGGGTCCGGAGCACTCGGGATCCACCCTTCGGGGACGCGGGGGGAAAGCGGCGGGAGACGGACGGACAGACGGACGGATGGACAGACGGACGGACAAACGGCCACCGGCCGCGGCGCGGTAACGCCGCCCTCTAACGGCCACCGGCCCCGCCATTCCCCCCGTCCCGTCCCGTCCCGTCCCGTCCCGTCCCGTCCCGTCCCGTCCCGTCCCGTCCCGTCCCCCCGGGGCCGAGGCGGCGCTCACCTGGACGTGCACCATGCCGCAATCCCCGCAGGCGTCCGTGCAGCTCCCGGGCAGCACCAGGCACAGCACCCCGCGGCCGGCCCGCTCCAGCTCCGCCCGCCCCACCGGGGACCGCGGCCCCCGGGGACCGGCCGAGCCCCGTCCGGCTGCGGGGACACCCCCGGCCGCTGCTCCCGGCGCCGGGGCCTCGGCGGCCGCTGCCGCCGCTAATTCCCCGTGCGCCCGCCCCTGGCTGGCGGGTCACCAGCAGGGGATTAGGGAGATCAGGAGAAAGCTCCCCGGCACGCTCCCGGAGCCGTGCGCCCGCCGTCACACGTGCCACCAGCACKGCCGCGTGGGGAGCGCCGGTACCGGCCGCACGCTGCTCCCGACGCGCCCCGAAAGTGCCACCTTGGGGTGAACCGGAGCCGTGCTCCGCGCGGGAGAGCGGATGGATGGGATGCGGGGATGTTCCCGG